TCCATTTCCAGCCACTCATAGTTCACTTAATTTTACAACACAAAAAACCCAAGTATCCATGGGCAGAACCAAATTCCAGCAAAGGTGATGAAATCCAGGCACACCGAAGTCAATGGGAAATCCAGGAAGTTAAGGCATGGAAAAATCCAAACAAAGTAATGGAATCAAGGCACGGAAAATCGAAACGAAGGCAATAAAGTCAAGAGCACACACAAGCAAAGTCCAAGCAAAGGCAATAGAGTCAAGGCATGGAAAATCCAAATGAAAACAATGAAGTCAAAGCACAGAAAGTCCAAACACAGGCAAAGTGGTCAAGAGCACACACAAATGACGGAATATGAATGGTTTTTTTCTGACAACCACCCAGTTCCATACCCTGAGATAAATAGGAGGGGCGAGGCTGCCTCCTTGCGAGTAGCCTTGCTGACCTCCATTGCACTTCCCTGCACTCAGCTCTGCACGCCCTGGAATCAGGTGAACGTGGCAACTCCTCCTATTCTGTGCTGCCTTCTACTGCAGCTGTTCTTCCTCCCTGTGCAAGTAGCTGATTGCCAGCTCTGACCGTCTGCAGTTGTGCTCCCTCTCCAGATGGCCCAGCCAGCTGTTCATCCAGCTGCTCCTTCTCAGATTCTCCCAGCGGTTCCTGCACCATTTCGCCTTGTCCCTCTGGTTCCCCCTGGTGCTCACCAGAATCGGTTCTTTCTCAGTGAACGTCGGAGGGAACCATTACAGCCTTTTGTGACCTTCTCAGCTGGCTTCTGACAAGCAAAGTCAATTGGGGAAGCCAGATTCACTTAATCACTGCAGTGACTTCCACGGCAAAACATGTTATAAAATCAGGCATGACTTACTTAACAACCACCTTGCTTAAAAAGGGAAATTCAGGTCCCAATTGTGATCCTAAATCGAGGACTTCATATCCATGAAGTGGGTGTAAGCTGAATTCATCTCAAGGGAAACTCTACTTATCTCCCAGTAATAGGAATAGATTAGGAACAAATAGTTATATTTCATTCCAATAGCCAAACTGATATAAAATGACAGTATAAAGTGACTGTTGGTCCTTAATGCTTAATAGCAGATATTCAAAGTGGAAGACATCAAATGCTTACAGTTAAAGTTGCCATTAATTTTGGCTAAATGTCTTGTTGTGCTTTCAGTTCAATCAGTTGAAATATAATCCTCTCCCACACTTAATCTGCAATTAAATAGGACCAATGCTATGACTTTATATGCCAATACACAGCTTTCATTTCTTTCATGAATGAAGCATCTCAAGTTGTTCTCCATATGTTTTTCCCTATACTAGGAAAAACTACATCTGTTAGACTTCTGCCTATAGTGAAATGTTCACCAACCCCCGTAAGCCAGAACTTCAACAAATCAAAAACTGTGCTGAACCAAATTAAGTCTGGAGAGATTTATTTAGGAATTCCTTCATTTTGATTCTTCAATTCAGGATTGCGGCGTTTGTTTGGTACTGAGGACTATGTTAAATATGTACAAACTTTTTCTGATTTATAATGTGCTTTCAATTAATTTCAGACATCTGCATCCGATTAAATTAATGTTCATACTGGCAAGTTGCAACAGTTAAACATGGCACAATTACTCTGGGAAATCCATCTGCTAACCACAAACATGAAACATTTTGACAGGGGTTTTTANGTTTGTTTGGTACTGAGGACTATGTTAAATATGTACAAACTTTTTCTGATTTATAATGTGCTTTCAATTAATTTCAGACATCTGCATCCGATTAAATTAATGTTCATACTGGCAAGTTGCAACAGTTAAACATGGCACAATTACTCTGGGAAATCCATCTGCTAACCACAAACATGAAACATTTTGACAGGGGTTTTTAAATTGTGATACGTTTATCTAAAGTATAATTTATCTTAATAAGGCTCTGTCTTCTCAATATGGAGGGTAGTTATCTAAGCCAATAATTCACCCCTTAAACAGTTTTTAAAATTTAATTTTCTCTCTAAATTTCTGCCATATGATGCCAATTATCTCTACCATAATGAGGATGGTAAACTTCACCAAGTTTAGCATTAGAAGCAAATCACTTTGCAGTCTTAGCTATTCTTATTTCCCATGTCTATCATAATTAATTTGCTTTGCCCTGATGATCCTCAGTATATCTTGGAAGGATTTTGGATATTTTCCATGAAAGATTGCTGATGATAGGAACATAGGAAGCTGCCTTGGACTGGTCTATCCCAATCTTCTCCAATTTTGGTATAGGCAAATTTGTGGATTTCAATTTCTACAATTCTCTATAATGGCTATTCTGAGAGTTGACATCCACATATGTCCAGACTGCCACCATAAGGGGAAGACTGATATAAATTAACTGCTTTATCTAGCCCAATGCTAGATTTCAGAAGAAATCTACCTCAGGAAGAAGTCTTTCTCAGCCCTTCTGAGTCTTCTATTAGCTTGCTATAAAGCTGTTAGGATTGAACCTGGAATCTTCAGCAGAGAATGCTGGATGATGGAAGAATGTCTCTTCCACAAATCATTGTCATGTGTAACTGCAGCAAACAATCTGCTTTCTTTTGGAGAGCCTAACCTCATTTTGTATTTAAAATTGAAATTCTCTATTTAATAAAGGCCAGTCCAGCTGAGGTTCAGTATGGATCTTTCAAAGCCTTGAATACCACCTTTCTGATATGGTCTGCTTGGTGCACAAAGGATACTCTGCCTGCTCTGTTCTACATGCTTTTGTTATGTAGTTAGTCCTCAACTTATAACATAGTTTTGCCCAAAACCTCTGTTGCTAAGTGACACAGTCGTTAAGTGAGTTTTGCCCTATTTTATGACCTTTCTTGCCAGAACTGTTAAGTGAATCACTCCAGTTTAACATGGTTGTTAAATGAATCTAGCTTCCTCATTACTTATGGATATCAGAAGGTCACAAAAGATGGTCACATGACTGCGGGACACAGCAGCCGTTGCAAATACGAGCCAGTTGCCAGGCATCTGAATTTTGAACATGTGATCATGGGGATGCTGCAGTATTGTAAATGTGAAAAATGGTCATAAGTCACTTTTTTCAGTGATGTTATAACTACGAATGGTCAATAAATAAAAGGTTCTAAGTAAAAGACTACCTATATGCAATTTAGATTAATTTCAGTCCCGCTAACTAATTAGACTTTTGGAACTCCATGTACAAGGAAGCCTACCTAGTTAGAATAGTCCTTTTTTTTTTTAAATAAGGCTGCCCAAAGCTTCACCCTCCTTTCTTATTTAGCCAAACACCTGGGCTACAGATTCTTCAGTTGGCTGTTTTACAGATATCTCTGTCACAGCAGTTGTTTTGCAAGGATGGCAATTGACACGGAGAAACAAGACAGTGGAAACTTTTATGCTTTTTACTATATACAATGACATTATTTACAGTAGTGTTTGCAACAGGTATGTACAACACAGTACTGGTATTCAGCCAGTGTCAGGTTTCCTCCTAAGTCTCCCTCCCAGGGACTATCCCCCTCTAGCTCTCCTGCTTCCTCTTCCTTTCTCTGAGTCCCTTTTTAAGAAGAGACTGGACAACCATTTGTCTGAAATGGTATAGGGTTTCCTGCCTGAGCAGGGGGCAGTGGTGTAGCGTGGGTTGTCAGCACCCGGGGCAAGTAATTTGCGCCCCCCTTCACAGTGGGCGGCGTTGGCGACCCGGCGGCTCGGATCGGATTCGCACAGCCAGCACTGCAGAGAGAGTGAGTGAGCCAGGCAGGGGCAGAGAGCTGCGAGTGCGAGTGCGCCCCCCCAGATGTTGCGCCCGGTGCGGCCGGCCCCCCCTGCACCCCCCACGCTACGCCTCTGGCAGGGGGAAGACCTTCAAGGTCCCTTCCAACTCTGTTACTCTGTTAGTCTCCTTCCCCAGTTTCTGGCCTTGACATGGCTTGACCTCTTCCTGGAACTTCAGCTAAACATCTCCTGCTTGTCCATTGGGAGAAGAACCTTCTCAGAGTCTTCTACGCAGTCTTTCTCTGAGACCAGAGCTTATCTACTGACATCTACCCCCTTGGCTCTTTGGTGGAGCCACAGTCTATGGCCAGATGGATCCCTCCTTCCTATTCTTGGCGTTGGGTGGAGCTCTTATCCTTTTGAGTCTTTACTTTCCCTCTTCCAGGAAAGCTAGCCCTGTACTTTTCTTCTCCTCACCAGGATGCCTATGGAGATTCTCCGTCATCCAGGTCATAGTTATCCCAAAGATGCTTCTTCATGAGGCAACTGGACTTCCTTGTTTTTCTTTGAAGATGTTTTGCTTCTCATCCAAGAAGCTTTCAGAGCTGAAGAAGTTTCTTGGATGAGAAGCGAAACGTCCTCAAAGAAAAACAAGAAAGCCCAGTTGTCTCGTGAAAAAGCATCTTTGACATTCCTGAGCAGGAGTTAACAACTACTGCCATAGTGGCGCAGTGGTTAGAATGCAGTATTGCAGGCTAATTCTGCCAGCTGCCAGCAGTTTGATTCCCACCGGCTCAAGGTTGACTCAGCCGTCCATCCTTATGAGGTCAGTAAAATAAGGACCCAGATTGTTGGGGCAATGTGCTGACTCTGCAAACTGCTAACAGAGGGCTGTAAAGCACTGTGAAGTGGTATATAAGTCTAAGAGCTATTGCTATTGCTACTGCAACTGCAGACTTAATTCTTCTCTCCAGACTTTCTCTCTAGCTTCTCTGTTCCCTCTGTGCACAATTTTTCTCTCTCTTCTCTTCTTCTTTCCTCTCCTCTCTCTCTCCAATTTTAGGTTAGACTAGCAGCATAACAATTGAAGAGGTGGAACCCCCAGGGCTCTGGTGCTGCATACCACTGCATCAGGCTGGACTAATGGGTCTCAACATCTGCCCCAAAGAGCCCTGGATTGCAGACAATTGTGCTTCTTTTGCCACGAGCTCAGTGTAGAGTCAGAGTCACATTGTAGCTTTCAGCTTTTGTATTATTTAACTTCATCTAAGAATGCAAGACAAAGTATTTTATGAAACAATGGGGCATGATTAAACAGTAACGTGGTTAATTATCTATCTTGATATGGTTTCCAGGCGGAACGATGAACCTCCACTTGATAAAGGTCACATTCCTTGGCTTGGGCATGCACTGGCATTTGGTAAAGATGCTGCCAAGTTCCTGTCTGAGATGAAAGAGAAGCATGGCGATATTTTCACGGTGAGTATTTATAGTACTTACATATTCTTCAGGGTGCCAAAACTCATCTCCTGCAGGATACAGTGTTAATAGGCCTTCATTGAATGCTGCCTTGAAAATCTTGTAAACTGCCTGGAGTCCTTACATAAAGGTAGGGTATAAATCTAATAAAGGATTTAAATAAATAAAGGTGCAGTGCTTCTTTGGTGGACTTTTACACAGCACTCGGATGATGTCACTTTTCACTTGCAAGCCATCTGAGTTTTCCCATTGGTGCTTCCATCTTCTTTTTCCACTGAAAATCTAAAACAGACATGTCAAACCCGTGACGTCGCGTAGCGTATCGGAGCTTTTTCGCCATTGCAGGCAATGGGATGGGCGTGGTTTCCCGATGACGCGTCCAGCCCGTGGGCTGGCAGTTTGACACCCCTGATCTAAAAGGAGAAAAAGGCAGCATAGTTGTGTTACTGCTAGTACTGTTCCCATCTATCTAAATGTGTTAAGATGGTCAAGGGTCATAGCCATTAGCCAGGGAAAGGAATTATTAGCAAATAGGGATAGTAAATGTGTTTAGCACTTGCTCACCCTTGTAAGTTAGGGAGTCAGATGAAGCAGATGAAATGCTGTAAAGATCTCAAATCTACTGTTCTCCCACAATGCTTAGGTAATAGTCAAGCCCTTTATGCTGCCATTTCACTCCAAACACTTAATAATATATCAGCTTTTGGACTGAAGCATCTGCTAGCATTTTATGGGAATCATTTTGCCACCAAATGTGAAGAGGCAAGATAAATCAAGGAATTAACTGAAGGGCAAAAAAAGGACAACTGCATTCCTCTTATATTTTAAAAATCATCATCTCTAGATGATGACCTGCTAATCTTCACTGAAAGAGGATGTCTATACAAAAGGAAAGTTGTTTTGATTTTAGGTAATCAAACACTCTTATTTAATGGCAGATGAAACCAGGAAGTTTTCAAAAAGAAGAGTTCCTTAAATGACCCATTTATTTATGTATTTGCATAATTTCTAAACTTCCCCTGCATCAAAAAAAAAATAAAAAAATTCCAGGGCAGTTTACCCAAAATTGAGAATACAATTCCAATGGAAGAGAACACAGTTTTTCAGTCATCTTCCAAAGTAAAAGCACAATATAGCCAGCCTATTCCCATATGCAGGTGGTTGCGATGATATCAGAATGACGAAGTATAAGATATAATGCCATTGCAAGTTCCACCCCTTTTATATCATGTTAAAGAGCAGAATTTGGACCGGGGGCCATGCTTTGTTGCTTGCCTTCCTTGCTCTCTTTCTATGGATGACCATTAGCATTTTTGGGAAAAGAGATCTGAGAATCACACATAGAATTGATTTGAGGATATTATCCATAGTTCAGGATTTGAAATTTCCATTCCTGTTCTGATTAACAGATGTTCAGAATAAGTATAAAAACCTTACTTTTCAAATGGTAATTATTGGCTATTATTGATTACAATTAAGAATGGAATGGAATGGAACACTTGAGGCTTTTGTTGAGATTCTTTAGAATATTATATTTAGCGTTAGCTACCAGTGTTCCTCAACATTTGTGAATATATGTCTTTTAAATAGATAAAGATTCAAATAAAATAGAAGAAAGGAGACCCGATGAAATTGATTTTTAATAAATCTCCATCGTTCCCTCTTTAATTCTATTGTACGAAACTTCTATTCATTCCTTAAAGCCAGAGCAAAAACAAAATCAATTAAAACTGAGGTGGGTGATCCTTGATCGTGCAGGTGTTCCTGAATAACAGCTCTCAGCATTCCTCAACAGTTGCACAATTTCTAGGAATCAAAGTTAATCCTTGATTTAGAACAATATGTGGTGCCAAAAATGTTAGTCAAATGTTTTTACTAGGGACACAAAAATTGTGTACTTAGTCATATGCAGACACGTACAAATTAAATAAATTTGGAATGTGAATTGAGTTTCAGTTGGTGGAATCTTTATGTCTCCCTCCCTCCATCCTCTCTCTCTCTCTCTCTCCCTCCCTCCCCCTTCTCTCCCTCCCTCTCTCTCTCTTCCCCCCCCCCTCTTTCTTTTCTTACTGTAGTAATCCCTACTATCCATGTTGGGGGAAGTGTCCTTTATTATTTTTTTATAAATAACTCAAAGTGATGAACATTTTACCCTCACCAACAACCTTGTGAGGTGAGCTGAGCTGAGAGGGAATGACTGACTCAGTCACCCAGCCAGCTTAATTGATACCATTAAGGGACATGAACTATTCACTCAGTTCCAAAATCTTTTGAATTATGAATCAATCATTTGTTCTGGTCCTTGTTCATATAGTGATTCTAGGGATCTTCTTTATAGGGCAATCTCTTTATTGAGATTGAGGAACCATTTAAAATGTATCCTAGTATAAGCACATGTCCTCTAAAGCTGTCTTCTAGGTTCATCTCCTTTTTAACATAATACATTATTTTCTGTAATATGCAAGCTCATACGCACTACAAAGACCACTGCTTGATTCTCAGGACAGTCAAGGCACTCTGTTTACATACCCTCCAGATATTAGTCTAGCTCCACTCTTCAATTCCTGGGCATTCCCAAGTTCTCCATCCTTGAAGCAGGGTCTGGTTTTCATTGAGCAAAATGTTGGATTAGGAATCTATTGAAAAATTTCATGCAAGACTTTGGATAAACTGTAAGATCTCAATTCAGTGTTTTGCTTAGTAGGAATCCTTAGATTCTTAGGGACTAGAGTTGAAAGCAGGGTATAATGAGATGTCTCTCTCTCTTTTTCAAAATTCATTGATATCTTTTAATCGATGTACTAAATTAATTCTTCATGATTAAATGTAATTGTTTGTTTAAGGTTAAAGTTGCAGGAAAATTTGTAACTGTCTTATTGGATCCGCATTCCTACGAAGTGGTGCTTTGGGAATCATGTGCCAAGCTGGACTTTGGCCAATATGCACGTATTTTAATGAAACGGATGTTTGATGTGACGCTCCCCAATTATGATTCTAACAAGGAAAAGGCCATGCTAAGACCGTAAGTGTAAACTTTATATGGGAAGTACATGCATCAAAAAAGTCATGTTATGTTCTATAGACTATTCTGAATTCTCATTTCAGGGGATCCAGCACATGGGGTAGCATCTTCTTTTAAATACTGAAAAAAATGGGGGTCAAGTATTCATCTATAATGTTTGATGATCTGTTGGAATGCATAGACCAGCTTTGTCCAGCTTTGTTAATAAAACTCAGATAAGGAATTATATGCAGTAAATGATTCTTCAGTTACATTACATTCTTCCTTCCAATCAAAAGCATTATCAGTCTTGAGACAGTAAGCTTAAAAAGAACATCGTCTTTAACTGCTGATAATAGAGCTGGGCTGTGCTTCAGATTTTATTCAAACAAGGTGTTTCAGAACATGCAGGAGTATGAAAACAACACTTATTTTGGTAGAGTCCCTTGTGGTGATTGGGGTACCATCTTGTGATGTTATCTTGAGCTCACGTTGGTTGTGACCTCCAAGGAAGTGGATAGGTGCTGACTAGGTTTTCATTTACCACTTACCTTTTGTATCCCTGCCAATCTTCACTGTTGTGAAGAATGGGTGTAGAAGTAACCACTGGCTCTGACTCCTTCATGAGAGGAGTCCCCAACAGTCTTGAAGGAAGCTTTGGTGTACCTCCATCTGAAGAGACCGACCCTGGATCCAGAGTTGAAGATGAAATGGATCCTCGGAGTCCTTTTCACTCTGTATTTGGTCCTAATTTCCTTGCTCTTTAACATCTAAATGAACCTTTTGGTGAGTTCATTCAATAGCTCACAGTGAGGTAAAATCAGAAGTTGTTTGATCGTGGCAGGATAGACATTTAATAAAGAAAGAAACAAATTAATAAATCAGATCCAGAGAGAACAAGCCTGTTTCAAAAGCTCTTTGACAAGTAATCATAAAGGAAGCCAACAGCCTATCTTTCAGTAAGGAATTTTATTAGATAGGGGCCTGCTGACTTTGAACTGCCAATAGAAAGGAGAGGGCTGGGACTAGAAAGGAGTGTTGGACTAAGGCAGGGGTAGGCAACCTTGGCTCTTTTATGACTCGTGGACTTCAACTCCCAGAATTCCTGAGCCAGCTGGGCTAAGCTTACCCTGTGAGTACATGTGAGTACATGGCAGAACTGAAATTTGAACCAGGGATTTCCTGATGAGAAAGACACTACCAGTACGGGTTTGTGTACATCCTGCCTCTTCTGATAATAATTTGTAAGAGTTTTCTTAGTGTGGGGCCTTTGGTGTTGTCTGAGCTTGCATGTTTTCTTGCAGATGTTTCATTACCAAACTAGGTAACGTCATCATTGCTAGTAAGGTTGGGGGGGGAGGTTTGTTGCTCAAACTTCCTCCCTACTAACAAACCCCTGATGATGTCACCTAGTTTGCTAATGAAATATTTGCAAAAAAAAGCAAGCAAGCTCAGAGAGCACCAAGGACCCCACCGTCTAATCCTGAGCTACAAATATTCTTTTCTATCATTTTTCTTATTGGAAGGATTTCAGAATTGTGGGTCACTAAGGATGTTAGATTGGAAGTCCAAGTGAATTATGTCAGGGAGCATGACTTTCCCATGCATATTCCTTGTGAAAGCTTGAGAAATCTCCTGCTTGCCTGGATATGCCGAAATAACAACTGGAACTGGTCCCTTGGGATATTACTGGAGCAATACAGGGAGCAGCTGATACATTTTTGGTTCATTAAGCCAACATTAGTATCCCCAAAACATGATGAAGACTCATTTTAGCAATGAACTTTCAGTGGCACTGCCACTCCTCATTTCACAATCTGATCTCCTTCACAGAGCAGCTGTGAGGATGAAATGAAATTCAATCCAAGGATTTGTCTAGAATGGAATGGCACTGGGATCAACTTACGTCAAAGTTTCCCCATGAATTTGTTCCCATTCATGACATGCTGCTGTAGAAGCAACACAAAATGTCGTGCAGTGTTTTGCCATCTCTACAGTTCATCCAGAACTAGTATCGGCACCTGGCAGTTGGGCATCCAGCACTTGGGAAGACCTACAAGTAACACATGCAGATTGGTATAAATGTAACCATGTTATGCCATTAATTATTTTTTTGTAGTGAATCCATTTAAAAAAACAAAGTTCAAAAAAATTGCCTTTCCTTAATATATCCATTCTTGTACTTTAATGAACACAAGGTTATCTGTAATTTATGCTTAGGGTATTTATCAATCCAAATGTTCATTTTGTTTAGATCAACCGGCCCTATGCTATTCTGGAATTATGTTGATTTTATACATAACTTTCCCAAAACATACACTTTTCATTTGCAAATTTCTGAACATTCCACACTCTATATGGAACTGTCCCAAAGACCTACTTTTCTTAATTAACTTTTCCAGGAAAGGATGAGGGTGCCAGCTGACTCCTTTTGCTTCTACCATCCATCCTACACTGGAGTTTGCTTATGAGGATCAGACTGTTTTTTGGCAGATTTCTTTTACCACTGTATCTAGGACTCCCAAGTTCCTCTTCCTGAGCATTTCCCATGGCCCTGTTTGCATGGATTTGTAACACTCCTGTTTTTGCTAGGCAGCAGCATCAGTACTTACAAAGTATTGTGGTTTGCAGAAAACTACTTCCAAGCTGAATGCAGCCAATGAGCTACTGGCTTGAGATCCCTGATAAAACCCCATTGCATAAATTATTTTAAACTGCAATCCTAAACATACCTGGGACTAAGCCCCAGTGAGTTATAATGCAATCTTTGTTGCCCCCATGGAGATTGCCCACAGGAAATCTTTCATCATTTCGGTATAAGGCATAAATTTTATCTTTTTTCCACCAAGGCAAGGTTTTTGTTGAATCAGACTATCAGAAACTCAGAATAACTTCCAGCTAAGTTGCCAAGTTTCTAAGGTTTATTTAAGAAACCTCAGTTCAGGGAATCCACGCAGAAAGCAGAAAGGAGTTTCACAAAGTATCCTTGTGTGCTTTATTCTACAGCACTCTGAAGGACAAAAACCTTGACAGCCTGACTAAGGCCATGTGCCTTAACTTACAAAACATCCTGCTTCCTGGCCCTGATTGCGCCGGTAGACAGTGGAAAGAGGAAGGTCTGTTTCAGCTCTCCTACAGCACTATGTTCAGGTGAGTGTAATGTTTCTAAGTCCTTTTTTAAAAACTAATAAATTAGGGGTCCTTGGTACTCTGAGCTTGGGTGTTTTCTTGCAGACGTAACTAGATAACATCATCAGTGCTCTAATGCAGCAGTGATGCTGTTCCTAGTGCAGCACTGGTGATGTTACCTAGTTTGCCTGCAAGAAAACAACAAGTTTAGAAAGCACCAAGGACCCCTCATTTTAACCCTAAGCTATAAATATTCTCCCTTATAATATTTTTATTAGGTTTCATTTTAAGATAAAAATACATAAGAACAAAAGTTAGAAAAACAGAAAAAAGAAAGAAAAGTGCAAAGAGAGAAAAAAGATAATGATTTTTGACTTTCTTTGTGCAGTAGATTACAAAAATAATACAACATTGATCTTTTGCTTTACATTTCACAAGATTTCAAACCATTTCTATATTTGCAAAATAATTCTAATCATCAAAACTAAAATCAAAGTTTCAATGTTTTTCAGAATGGAGCAAAAAGTCCAGAAGTGGTTTTCAAATAGAAACAAAGCTATAATCCTTTTCTTTAATTAAAACAATGAATTAGTATGTTTTGCCATCCTTGTATATGTTAGATTTTTTTTGCTGCTATCAACACGTATAATAACAAAGTTCTGAATTTTCATTAAAATTCCTTATCCATCAAACCTAAAAGGAAAAATTCTGTTTTCATTATTTATATTTATTTTAAGAATCTTCTGAATCGAAGCAGAAGTTTGATCCCAGTATGCTTTATCATAAGCTCACCAGAAATGATTAAAAAAAATACCTTCTTTGCATTTGCATTTCCAATATACATTTGAAACTCCTTTACACATTTTTTGACAATTTCTCAAGTGTTAAAAATTAACAAGACACATTTGTAAGTCTTAAACAAGTTTCCAAGGAGGTCTGCTTGGGTTCAGTATGAAGGTTTGAGAGGACCTCCAACAGGACCTCCAATGAGGGATCGAAGACCAACTTTTCACCCTTCTTGACTTCTTGACTTTTCCTGTTCCTCTGTTCCACCACAGGCAATCCTCAACTTACAACAGTTATTTTAGTGATCGCTTGAAGTTACAATGACCATTTTTTACACTTATAACCATTGCAGCATCTCCATGGTCACATGATAAAAATTCAGACGCTTCACAAACTGTTTCATGTTTATGACAGTTACAGTGTCCGGGAGGTCATGTGATCCCTTTTGTGACCTTCAGACAAAGTCGATGGGGAAGCCAGATTCACATAGCAACTGTGTTACTAACTTCACAACTGCAGTGATTCACTTAACAATTGTGGCAAGAAAGAGCGTAAATGGGATAAAATTCACTTGACAACTTGAGTTTAGCAACAGAAATTTGGGGCTCAGTTGTGGTCATAAGTCAAGCACCACCTGTGCTTGTTCTCCTCTCTGAGTTAAACAATGGAGTAGTGCCGGGAGGAAAAAGAAATGTGGCACGGTTCCCACTTGCGTTGCTTGCTGCCTCTGTCTACACGTGGTCAAAGTATAAAAACAAAGAAACTGACAAAAGCAGAACAAGGTAGGGAGTTCCAATGAGCTCATTTGGCTCCTCTGGTATCTGGAATCGGTTCTGCATCTTTTCCTTAAACAAAGAAATAGAAACCAAGTTCTCTTATATTCAATCTTTCAAAGATCTCCTCTCACACAATGGAGCTACAAAGCTGCATAATGTTGATTAAAGGGCTTATTGAATTGCTGCACGTGAATGAACTTTGTGTAACATGCACAGGAAATGTTGTCATGAAAAAGCAACATTCAAATACCAGCTGAACATTTTAGGCCAGTAGGGGACCAAAGAACTACCATGAGCACGTTTCAGAATGTAGGATTCAGTTTCCATACACAATCTTGTCCCAAACTGACTGTAGATTTCATTGTTAACTACCAAGACCTGTACCCAATTACAGCTTTTAGAATGAGAAAAAAAATTATTCTTGAGACCTACTTCTCTGTAATTTAAATCTATTATTCTTGTCCTCTTTTCTGAACAATTCTGCCTGGCATCATTTCAGATATTGGAAAATTACTATCATGTCTTCCTGAAGACAGCTAAATAGATCCAAGATCATTCAACATTTCTGGGTTCCTTATCATATTGTTTGTTTTCCTATGGACATGCTTGGCACATTAACATAGATGGTTTTTGTTGTTTTAATGTTTTATGTTTTAACTGATGCTTTATGATTTTTAAAATTATCCTGTGGTAAAGTTACCCTGTGGTAAGATGAGTGGCCAATAAATTAGATAGATAGATAGATAGATAGATGAATGGATGGATGGATGGATGGATGGATCCATGGCCCTTCCTAAAATATAATGCCCAGCAGTAGACACAACATTCTATATGTGGTTTGATCACTGCTGAATAGAGAGGAATGATATGTTCTCTTGATCCTGGAGCTATATTTCTGTTAAAACAGAACTAAGATTTTATCCCCCCCCCCTTTTTTTTTTTTGTATTACCACATTGTTGGGTCATAATCAGCTTGTGACACACTAGGCTACCCAGAACTCTTTTGCAAGTACTGTTGACCATACTGGATACCATACTATCGTATTCTGTTTCCTATCTAAATGAAAAATTCTGTATTTGTTTTGAAATTCATCTTTCTGCTTTCTAGCTATTATTCTAGCTCATCTGGATCATCCAGAACCCTGACACGTCCCCTAAGGACTTTGCTATCCATATTTCTGGAAATATCTGTAGCTATTTGATATTTTGCAAAGTTGATACGGTACTTTCTAAGCCTTGATCAAATCTTTTATACATGTGTTGAACAATCCAGGGCCAAGACCGGAGATGTGTTGTGTGCCTCTTGATGTAGTGATGTAGAATCATTGACACACATCCTTAGGGTACAGTTGTTCAACCATGCTGAGTCTCCTGCTATTTGGAGTCTCTTAGCCACTAAGAACAGCTTTCAAAGATATAAATGTTGGCAGGTAAACACAGCACTGCTTCTTTTGAAAGAGGAAGTGCTTTCTTTAATGCAAGGTTCAGAAATGAACCCAGCCCAAGATTTCAGTTTAACATTTTTCATTAAGTCAAATAATATCCAGGTAAGGGCTTTAGGACAGAAACCCTACTACGTCTATGGTTAGAAACCCCATCTCTAGTTCAGCAGTCCCCAACCTTTTTGGAAAACCAGGCACTGGTTTTGTGCAAGATAATTTTTCCACAGACCAGGGAGCGGGGGGGGGGGGGGGAAGGAGTGCAGCACCTACTTCCCGCGCATGGACAGTTTTGCATGCCTGCCACTCACCTCCAGCTGCTTGGCCTGGTCCTGACAGGCCAAAGACCAGTACCGGTCCACGGCCCAGGGACTGGGTACCCCTGCTCTAGCTTCAAGGAACTGTACTCAGATTGAGAGAGAGGAAAGAGGGACTTTCCCTTAGTTGATAGGATGACTGGTTATGTCTTCAATAGAGGAGGTTGTTTAGCATTGTGTTGTAATCCCAACACTATGATATTTATAATATATGGTATAATGGTATTTTTAAATAATTGTTTTAATCCCTTCCCTTCCTAACTCTGCAGAGCTGGATTCCTGACATTGTATGGAAATGAAAGCAAGAATTATGAAGATGTTAATAGTCAAGATAAAGATCGAACTCATTCAATGGAAGTTTATAATGCATATTATAAATTAGACCGATTTTTGATGAAAGCTGCCCGGTCAACTTTAAGTGCAGGTGGGTGTCATTGGTAAAGAAATATCACTTTTAAAACGCCAATGCTTTGAAACCTAGACTAAAGTGAATTTACTTCTTAGAATCGAAACCAGAACTACATTACATATCTGTAATGTGTTTGCACTTCTTATTTAAATGTAACTATAATTTAATTAAATGCAATCTTTAGTTTTTAGAGTAATATATGTATAAAAATATTAATATCTAATTATGAGCAAATGCTGATAAATAATAATAATAATAATAATAATAATAATAATAATAATAATAATAATAATAATAATAATAATAATAATAATAATAATAATAATAAAGTTGGAAGGAACTTTGGAGGTCATCTAGTCCAACCCCCTGTCCACTCTCTTCTTAAAGATTTCCAGTGTTGGAGCATTCACAGCTTCTGGAGGCAGGTTGTTTCACTGGTTAATTGTTCTGTCAGGAAGTTTCTCCTTAGTTATAGGTTGCTTCTCTCTTTGGTTAGTTTCCATTAATAATTAAGAATTAGATTAATAATTAGAGAAATGGAAACCAGGAGACAGTGAGTTCTAGTCCCACCTTAGGCATGAAAGCCATTTGGTAACCAAGGGCAAATCATTCTCTCTCAACGCAACCCACCTCACAGGGTTGAGTTATTCATAAAAATAATAAAGGTAGGTTAAAAAAATCTTTTTAAAAATAGAACAATAATGTATCAGCAGATTGACAGATTGTTCATAGTTCACTTCAGAAGATGTATCTGAAACATATGTTATATAGAAATATCTTTAATGATCTGTATCTGTAGTGAATTTAAGTAATGTGATCATTTTGAGAGCTATTTCAAATGATAAAGGGGATTTTTGGTACAGATTATTGATTTTTCAGTTGGATATATCTGCCTTTGGAAGAACATGGTGTCAATCCATTACCCGTCCCCAAATGTTCAGTTGGGATACATTGTGAGAAAGGTAGGTAGGTAGAGGGAGAGAGAAAGAGAGAGAGGATAGACAGACAGATAGATAGAGGTCCATGTTTGAATACATTTTTACATTTATATTATACTTAATATTCTAATAGGTATAGCTGCTGCTTCTCTATTAAAGAGATTTTCCCAGGAACAAAACAAGCAAAAAAGCAGTATAAAACCACCAAGTAAATGTGATTCATTAATAATATAAATGGAACCACATAAAAGAGGTGAAGTAGCAATGTTCTTATTATTGTTGGTGTTGGTTTTTCTTCCTGAAAGACTGGTAAGCAACTATCGTTCAAATGCTACTATCAACCTATTAGAAAGAGGGAATTTACAAGAGGAAAGTTACAAACAGTAGATGGCACCATTGTGTAAGTTTTTAGATCCACTTCATTACAGGCAGTTCAAATGGATAGGTCCATCCAGCTTTCCTCATTTTGCAGGATGAGATAATAGGATAATTTTATAACGATTTTGTCAGCGTTTTCTGTCCAAACTTACAAAATAAGCAGAATTCTTTTCCTTGCCAGTGTTTAAATTGGTAAAAGTGTTTCAAAGAAGAAAAAAATACCGCTAAGTAGAACCTTATACTTTTCAAATCCTGATGTACCCTTTCATTCCTCAACCTGAAGTCTCTTCTATCATTGCTTTGTGATAAAATAAGTATCTTAAAATGATTGCTGTCATTGACTGCTGCAGAAATTACTCAAATGCAGAACCTAATGTATTATGGCTTGCCATTTCCCCTGAATGGTGATCATTTGAAGGTCTTCTGACCTGCAGAGCTCTGAATCTGCACCCACAGTTGGCTAAGACCTACCTGCAATTTGTTTCACCCTTAAGACTGAAAAATACCTAATGAGAGCTAGAACATGAAACATAGAATAATAGGGTTGGAAGGACGTTGGGGTCTTGTAGACCAGGGCTTTTCAACCTTTTCACCCATTGTACCACTTTTAGGATATGGCAACGTCCGAGTACCACCAGTCGCCTAGCAAGGTGTCAAAAACTTGATGACACCCCCCAAAAGGAAAAAAGTGATGAAGTACAGGTAGTCCTTGACTTACAACAGTTCGCTTAGTGACTGTTCAAAGTTACAATGGCACTGAAAAAAGTGCCCCCCAAGCCACAGCCGAGCAAGACACCTGCCTGCCAGCCCGCCCGCGCTCTTCCTCCTGTCCGAGGTTTTCATTGTTGTGAGCATTTCTGTTGAGGATTGGCAGCAGGGGTGGAGTGGGGGATGTTTGGTTTTTATTCCCCCTGTCTGCTGGGTGGTTGCAGCAGGTTTTGGTCACTTCACATGACCCTGGGACACTGTGACCGTCATATATATGAATCAGTTGCCAAGCATCTGAATGTAAATCACAAGACGCTGGAGATACTGCAACATTCCCGCTGATTGGCGCTTCTTCTGGGCTCAGCAGAAGCGCTAGGATCAGTGCTGCTTTCCAGCTGATTGGTGCTTCTTCAGGGCTCAGCAGAAGCACCAGGATCAATGCCAAGCTCCAGCTGGAGCCTGGTGCTGATCCTGGCGCTTCTGCTGAGCCCTGACAGCCCCAAAGAAGCACCAATCAGCTGGAAAGCGGCACTGATCCTGGTGCTTCCACTGAGCCCTGACAGCCCTGCAGCTCCAGCCATCTCTCCCTCAAGCTTGTGCGGTGCTGCCACCATTCAGCTCATTCCCTCCCCCGCTACCACTTTTCTAGGATGGTCGCGTACCACCTGCCAGGTGCCAATGTACCACAGGTGGTACCCGTACCACTGGTTGAAAAGCCCTGTTCTAGCCTAGTCTTCTAGTACATATACCTTGTTCGATAACAGAGTGCATACATTTTGAAAAACTGAGATGGACCATCCTGAGGCTGGTATCACTGAGGCTGCACTCCTATCTCTAATTTCTGAGAAGTTGAAATTACCTCTGAGTGGATATGCCTCAGTGAGAGCCAGATTGATGTAGTGCATGAAGCATCAGGCTAGAATCTAGAAGATGGGAAATTCTAGTCTTGCCTTAGGCCAAAAAAAAAACAAAACCAACAACCATGAGGAAGCAAGCAATGGCAACTCACTTCTGAAATCTTGCCATGCAAACTGCCAGGACTTGCCATAGACTGTATTATTAAGGGGAGATAAAAATGTACAGCCAAACCATGCATAAATGTCTATTGACATCAATCAATTATTGCAGCACCTTCTCAAGCAAACACATAAACATCCAGCACAAATAATTATAATTATAAATAATTATAAAATAAATAAAAATAAGCACATTTAATAATTGTGCTTCCCAGAACAACTTACCTGGGGAGTACAGCTTGTAGAGAGTGAAGAAATAAACTGGTGTAATCACCAGTTCTGTTAATGAACGTTAATGTCAGAGACTCTGTAGATGCCACTATACCTCCTATCAGTGGTCCCAGGTTGATAAGCAACAGCACCTGCCTCACTAATCACATGCAGCTTGCTTGCTTGCCCTTCCGTCTCTCCCTTTTCTCTCTTTCTTCCTCTGACTTCTTGACCCCTGATCTAATCCATAGAATAGTCTTTCTCAGCCTACTTACTAGATGTAATGTAATTAAGGCATACAAGACCCAAAAATAAATACTTCCTGAGTGAACCGAGCTAAAAACTCAGACATAATGTTTGGCTTTGAGGATCGAATTCTTGCTCATCCATGAAATTCACCTGGTAGCATGATGGAAAGCTACTTTCATTTCTTATTATCCCTCTTCAGTAAGAGCGCCAAAGGCCCTTGCCAGAACAAAGGAAGGAAGGAAGGAAGGAAGGAAGGAAGGAAGGAAGGAATTATAAATTTATTTTCATAAAACATGTAATAAAATTTGAGAGCATATCTACTTTAAATGGTTGTTCTCAAGATAAAATAAGATAGGCCTTCTGATTTATTGGAGGAAGGCCTCCAATAATAACTACATATTGTCCATATTTATATCTTTGGTGCTTCTCTGTACAGGGGAAAAGTTGAAATTTTACAACATCAGGAAGGATCTCTGGAATTTTTTTTCTATGGAAAGACTGGACAGCAGAGCGAACCAAAGTGTTTGGTTGGACAGTTATAAGGAACACTTGGTAGACCTTGGTGTGAATGAAGATATGCAGACTAGAGCCATGGTGCTGCAACTCTGGAGTACTCAGGTAAAAATGCAATTTTACTTTCTGTATTTCGTTCTCTTTATGGTTTCTCAATCTCAAGTTCCATCCTCTTACATGAACTATTTATACACAAAGGGTAGAGGTAGAAAAACATGCCTATGGCCCATAATCTATTGAAAATATAAATGTTGTATGTTAATATCAGTCTTGCATTATGGACCACTTGTTTCTTATTGACACTAATGGCAGGAAAGAATGTCTATGGAGTTTCTCAATCATCCAGGTGATGGTTGTCTCAAAGGTGCTTTTTCAAAAGGCAACTGGACTTTTCTTGGTTTTTTTCCTTGAAAACTTTTCGCTCCTCATCTAAGAAGATTCTTCAAACGGGATGAGAAGTGAAACGTTTTCAAGGGGGAACCCCCCCCCCCAAAGTCCAGTTGCCTTTTGAAAAAAGAATCTTTGGGGCAGGAAATAATGTACTCTTATCTCTGCCAGCTGGAGTTCTTTAGTGGGGTGTTGGAAGGGATGAAGGAGTGGGCAAAGGAGAAAATGGGATGAGGTCTCTCTGTGTATCTGAAAAAAGGTGCCTGAGCAGGAAGCTTGATGGTCTTGAGGGGCAAAATGGTTCCTCATTTATTGGTTGTCATTGATGACAGATACCCTGATTAAAAAAAAAAATAACCTCCAGGTGTATACTACTCCAAATACTATTAATGTTTGTATAGTGTCAATCTTCGATTGGGAGAAGCAATACTATGCCTGCCAACATCTCCAATAGTGGACTTTGTGTTTACATCTTCCTTTGATGTGCTCAAGATATGGTTGGGAAAGGGATCCCTGTATGGAAAATCTATCCATCTGCATGTAGATTGTTGGAATTGGATTTACATGATTGAAAGTATGACCCCTAAAAAAAAAATAGAGGATTGATTTTTTTTTTCTTGACCCTTTTGGAATTACCTTCCTTTGACTGCCACACGGTACATAAGTAAACTCAGGAAATATGTGAGTTTCTATAGCAATAATTGTATTTTTTTTGTTTCAATGTTTGGTTTCAAACAGTCAGCTCACTCCTATTTTCTACCTTCAGTTTTAGAAAAGATGAACACAGCAGACTGTAATGAGAGATGCTCCATTCAGGGTTTTTCAAACCTGGCAATTTTAAGGAGTTTGAAAAACACTGCGGTAATTCATGTAAAACAGGTTGGGCAAGCTGTTGTTTAACCCATATCTCATCTAGAAAAGACGCCTGCATGCTGCAGATGGCAAAGCTGAAACAAAGCAGAGTTAGATCAGATCTAATTCTCTCTGAACAGGGGGTATAGTTGAAAGAGAGGCTGCAGTGTAGAGACAGGATGTGTACAGTAAATTGGATGTACAGTAAATTGGTTTATTTCTCCAGTAGGAAGAAAGATTGAAAATAAAATTGTTATAATAATGATAATAGTATTATACTCATAATGGAAAGTAGATTAGAGTAGAGTACTGTTAATATATAAAACTCCCAGTTGCAGTTCTTTATGACTTTAGTGCAGTGGTGGGATTCAGCCAGTTTGCACCACTTCAGCAGAACCAGTAGCTAATTTTTTGTTGCCCAGGTCCAGAATGGACTGCCAGAAGCGGCATCCACACAGAGAACTGGTTGTTCACATATTTAAATCCCACCACTGAAATGGATCAGTACTCTGACGTTTTATGAAAGATCTGTTTCTTGTTCTTTAGCGCATGTTTTTAAAGTGCAGGTCCATTCTCCCCCCCCCCCGCCCCATCCCCAGCAATATCATCAGTAGTGTTTTTCATTCCCTTCTTATCCTGCCATTTTCTCTTGTGTCTATATGGGAGAGTATATGTAGGAACAGAGAGCCAGTTTGGTGTAATGGTTAGGGCACTAGCCTAGAAACAGGGAGACCATGAATTTTTGTCCGTCTTTAAAAACAAAGTCAACTGGGTGACCTTGGGCTAGACACTTTCTTTTAGCCGTAGGAAGGAGGCAGTGACAAACCAATTCCAAAATCTTGCCAAGAAAACTGCAGACACTAGTCCATGCAGTCACCAGGAGTCAACAATAACTCAAAGGCACAAAGAAAAAAAAAATAGGTAGAAAATTTTTTAAAAATTATTTTGCTTACATTTTTCTAAATTAATTTTAGGGTTAATCAACTGAAAAGCGAGAGATGGGGATTGCTGGAGGTGCATTTTTAAAACATAAGTTTATTATGACTAATATTGTTAATATTTAATTTATTTAGACCCCTAAACTTATTTTTGTAGTGTAGCCTCTGAGATGTCCTTCAAAGGTCCAATGACCTAGGCCTGTCTTCTAGAGCATATGGCCAAAATACTTTGAGCAAAAGGGAGCCAGGGACGTAGTATTGGATTCCAAGTGGTCCAGGCAATAAAGTCACAGTTATCAGTTATCAAAAATGAGAAAATTGTATTTCTTCCACATTTGGAGAGGCACAGATTCTCCAATCTTCATCTAAGGCAGGGGTGTCAAACTGCCGGTCCGCAGGCCGGATGCATCATAGCGAAACTGCGCCCATCCCATTGCTGGGAATGGCAAAAAAAAAGTCATGACACGTCACGACACGTCACGTGACGTTGCAAATTTGACACCCCTGATCTAGAGAGATCCCTAACTCAAAGTATCCTGATTTCTAGCATCCAGGAACACCTTTATGGAACAAACTAAATCAAGAGATAGAGCACAAACATTGCATGCACAGATCAGTTCTATGCTTTTGTGTTCCAGACAGGATGGGGAAAAGCTACTGCAGAGAGTGTAGACGTACTAACCTAAAAGTACAAGCAGCAAGATTTAAGGTATTTGTTATGTCCAGACTATTACTAATTGTTTCCCAAGGGGTCCCTTTGTTTCTCAGCATATAATTGGAAGCACTACTCTAAAATATTAGATTTCCTGTCTCTCTCATATAATTATCCTGACTTTTGTTAGCAAATCTGCTCCCAAAGACACTGCATGCTTCGGTTCTTATACACAGAAAAGAGATGATAAGAATTTTTAGAATGCAGTTTTCAAGGTGGCAAGAGAGACTTCCCCCCCCCCCACACACACAACATAAATAAATCCATTTGGTCACCATGTTTAATAATTAAAAGCCTGGATGCACTTTGATTCTCTCGCCTCCACCCCAATTTTAATGCCTGCACTTTAATTAAAAGAGCAGCCATCCTTCTAAAAGACCCAAGCAAAAACAAAATCTTGCATTTCCCCCTTTCAAAATCAGCATGCATTATTTATTCTTTGCACTTCTCTCTGTTGGATTTAATGTACTCTTGATGTACTTGCTATCAACAATAGTGCTCTATTGCATTTCGCTTAATCATCTCAATTTTAATAAGCAAGCGGAGAACAATAGGAAGTGCTGGGGCTTCCTGTTTTCTGTTTCTTAGATTCTGAAATAAGCGCATTCTCATGAGATGCAGCAATGGGAAAGGACTCCAGTCTTCGTTTGTTTATTAAGTTTTTTCTGCTCCCCATTTTCTCTACAAGGTGGTCCATAACATAAGAAGAAATTAAAAAAATAAACAAAAAGCATATAACAATACCAACAACAAAATAGCTAACCCAAGCAATGAAACAAAGATGTAATAATAATAATAATGTTGGAAGGGACCTTGGAGGTCATCTAATCCAACCTCCTGCTCAGGCAGGAAACCCTATACCAGTGGTTCTCAACCTGTGGGTCGGGACCCCATTTGGGGTCAATCGACCATTTCATGGGGGTCGCCAAGCAAGGCTGTCCACCATTTTTTTTGTCCGCCATTTTTTTTGTCCGCCATTTTTTCCCCCTTTTCCAGCGGGTGCCTTACCTCCCTTGGGCTGGGCCAGCTGGTGGTCGGCCTGCTCCGTCTCTGCCGCTTGCCAGCTACGCCTTGGCTGGCGCAGGGGGCGGAACCACGCATGCGCGGCGCTCCCGGGCAGGGAAAGTCCTCGACTTACGACCGGTTGGGTAGTCCTCGACTAACGACCGGTTTAGTCCTCGACTTATGACCGGTTTAGTCCTCGACTTACGACCGGTTGGGGTCGCGGCATTAAAAAGGTTGAGAACCACTGCCCTATACCATTTCAGACAACTGGCTGTCTAGTCTCTTCTTAAAAACTTCCAATGTTGGAGCATTCACAGTTTCTGGAGGCTGTCATAGAGGGACTCTAATCATCTTCCTGCTGGTCTCATTTTCATCTGAACTGAGAAAAGATCTTATGTACATAAGGATGACCAATATTATAAAAAAATAAGGCCTCTAAATAGCACATATATTTAGCCCTCACAAAGATCGCCTTCACAATGCCATTGAATGCCTAGAAGACAGAACTAAATAGATAAGTTTGAAAAGTAATACAAATTAAAAACTGGGCAATCAAGTACTTTGGTCTCTGCTATTTTACCCTCATTCTTTAGGGGGGGGAAATGGCAAGATACAGATTTTGAAAATACCAAGAACATGAAAATCAAATGCAGCTCCTTGGAGTAATGACTGTGACAGTAGAGACCTCTTCATGAAATCTGCAGGTTTTAATAGCCAGATAGGTTTATAATGGGAGAGGCATATTTAACTTCTGCCTTTGGCATGGTGATAGACTGTGCAAGAAGTTCCTTTTTATTTTTACTTTTGTTCTTAATTGTGGCCACTAGAAGCATCTCAGGACCACATGAAATATGTTAGTATCCAAAATGAACTGTCCTATTAATTTTTTAAGTTACCAGGGGAAATATAACAGTAGTCTCAGTATTGAAGAACAGAAGGAATACAGTTCCTGGGGAAAATGAACATTAGGAATATTCTGAGTTTTTATATAACCTGAGGATGCATGAGGGTTCCCCGACAACTGCTGTTCAGCCTAGTTTATTAATGGATTGGAGGTGTCACAATGCAAAATTCTCAGGAAGGGCACTTCTATTATTATTACAGTTTCCAGGCCAAATATCTGTACATTTTCCCCCTCAGTGCTAGGAATATAAATCATTTCAAAACTAACGCAAGAGAAAAAACGAAGACCACTAGCTCTGTCATTGATTTAACTAGTGAATAGTCTGCAGGCATTCCAGGTTATTATGTTCAGATTTCCCCAGCATTTCTCCTCCTAGTAAATGCCAACCTTTGCAGTCCTCATCCTGGATAGTATAGTGCTGTTCTAATGAGTTTAATTTTCTTGAGAAATAAGCACAGGTCTATGTTTTTGCTGCATCTTATAGCTAAAATGTCTTTCTGCAAAATCAGAAGTACTAGTGTCCACTACAAATGGCCAAGTGGGGTCAGGGTGTTGAGGATGAGTAGAAAAGGACCTCCTTTAACTTTTTGAAAGGTTTCCGGACTAGAATATTTCATTTAAACACTGTAAGACCAGTAGGTTAAAATTTGGGGTTAAAGTGCAGTGATAATTTGGGAAGCCCTTCAATTTCAGTATGTCTCTTAATTCTCCTTCAAATCATGGGAAGTACTGGGATTCCTGAGAAGGGAGGGGTTACACAGGCACAATCCGATCCAATGTCTCAGTCATCCCCTTATTGCAAGTGGCAACCAAGATTTCAGATGGTTCACCCTCCCTGTGGTAGGTCATGACAATGGAGAATCCCAAGAAATCATAATATGATCCAACTACAACAAAGGGGGTAGCCCAGGCTCCCACCATTTCAGATCACATTGCCATTGCTCCGATAGGAACACCAAATCTAGAATGTGACCATTGTCCTGAGTCAGGCTTTGGATCACCTGGGATAGGCCCAAGTCTATCATTGAAGCCATGAACTTCAAAGCCATTCAGACACCATTCTCAGGGAAGGGAGATTAACCTTAGAGCCATAACTCTGGGGACCTCCACCTGAAAATGGAGTCAAGGCAGGCAGGGAAGTTGCTATGCAGCATGGAGGTTGATACAACAGCAACAATCCCAACTGATCCCTAGAGCCCAACTTAATGAACTGAGTCTTACAACTGGGAACTTATGGGGCACACAGCCCTGAAGTCAGAAGAGATTCCCTGATAACAATTGTCACAAATCAACCCCTATCCCAGAGTCTTGGTTGATGCCACATCAAAACCCAGCTGGGCAAATTTCAGTACAGGCAACCCACGCTTCAGGACCCAACCAGGTCTTGGTAATACATGTCTGGTTTGCCATCTCATCCATATTTGAATTGTGGATGAGGGAAGCCTTATTACAGACTCATCTGGCATTCAGTAGCAACAACTAAAGGCCAAGTTGAGTATATGGTTATATTAGTATATTAGGTACTATGAGATTCCTCAGTTTTCTAAAGCAACCAATTAGTTCCAGGCATAGTATCATTAACACTGCAGAAGGCTTAGGTTATTTCTCAGCTTTTCAAGGCAGTCCTTCTAAGGCAGCGGTTCTCAACCTATGGGTCGCGACCCCATTTGGGGTCAATCGACCATTTCACGGGGGTTGCCAAGCAAGGCTGTCCGCCATTTTTTCCCCTTTTCCGGCGGGTGCCTTACCTCCCTTGGGTTGGGCCAGCTGGTGGTCGGCCTGCTCCGTCTTTGCCGCTTGCCAGCTAGCCTCGGCTGGCACAGGGGGCGGAACCACGCATGCACAGCGCTCCCGGGCAGGGAAAGTCCTCGACTTACGACCGGTTGGGTAGTCCTCGACTTACGACCGGTTTAGTCCTCGACTTACGACCGGTTTAGTCCTCGACTTACGATCGGTTGGGGGTCGCGGCATTAAAAAGGTTGAGAACCACTGTTCTAAGGCCACCCTGTTCATTTACCAAACTGCAAATGTGGAACTTTCTTATTGAAGGTGAAACAGACCCTTTTGATTTTAACTGAAAGGATATTTAAATAGGATCAGATTTTGCTGCTTTGTGATAAAGTTCTATTTGTGTTCTCTGGCATTTAAAAAAAACACCAGTCTGATTTCTTTGTTGTTTCTTTTCCTTTTTAGAGTAATGCTGGTCCAGCAGTTTTTTGGCTTCTCTTGTTTCTTTTGAAACATCCTCCAGCCATGGCAGCAGTTCAAGCTGAAATGGAAAAACTATTTAGAAACAGACGATTAACAACCAGGCCAATTTGTGAGATAATCAATCAAGACGTTTTGGATAGCACACCCATTTTCGGTTAGTAACGTGTCATTCATCTAGCCCTGAGCAATTTAATTCCATAAGTGTCAGTTAAATATTTACCACTGTCATCACTGGATCTGGGAAAGATTCTTACACTATCCTGTCTGTCTCTTTGATTTTTGTTACTTAAAGCACAGCGAATATCAGATTTTCCCTTTAGCTGTCTCCATGTTATGTCCATTCTTTTTATCTTGGTAAACATGTGGCTATAATCACCCTAGACTGAGGACGACAGGAGTATGTGCCTGGATTCAGTGTCTTTCAAATTCAGGATTGGCAAAGTTTGAGAGAAAATCCCCCCAAAATCGAGTAAAATCTCCCTTCCAAGATGACCTTGAAATGAGAACTGTCTTGGGCAGGGAAAGCACCTCTGCATAGGATATAATGGAATTATTTATGGATCCCATTATTGTAGACATACTTTACATTATAGTTGGGGACTAACTTTCCGTTTGGTTCACAGGCAGTCAAGTTAAGCAGTCCAATAGCTGCCTTTGTTTCCCTTGCTGTATAAACCAGGCACTCCAACAATTTTTTCAGTAGCCAACATTTAACCCTTGTTTTTGTTTTGTTTTGTTTTTAAAAAAGAGTATTCTCTTATCCTGTTTATGGGTGTTCCTGCACCCTTAATAGTGGCTGTTAACCATAAATTAGCTATTAGTCCAGGTGTAGAGAACCCATTTGAGGGTTAAATTGAGTTAATTTACAATAAGCCAAAATTGCAGATGTTGATTAAAGAGAACTATCTTAATTATAATCTGGTCTATTGAGGATTGGCTGCATGGTCAATTGGGTCTTATGCATGTGACTGTATGGTGTCATAAACCTAATCAGCTACCAAGGTATTGCAGTGTCAAAACCCAATCAGAGTAAAAGCTATATCTCCTGCTCTCAGGTTAAATTTAAAATGTTCAGTATGTTTCATCTAACTTTCAAGATCTTCTGCTACCACTGTGCCTCTTTCTCACATTTTATGTCATCCCTAGTCTGAGATTTGCAAAAAGCACTTTTAAAATGTAGTAAGTGAACTTCTAAAAGGACATAGTGACCTTTCAGTAGAGGACTTTTTAGACATAATTGTAATTTCAAATCATGACATTTAACTCTCAGCTTCCTATAATTTCTTTGCCCCAGTCTCTTCTCCTTTAAGAAAATGCTGATGATCTGTATTCAGAACTGCTACTAAAACCAGCAGTAAAGCATTTTAATTGTAACCTTCCTGCTAAAGATCAGCATATGCCTCACAAAATCCCTTTATTAATACAAAAAGAAATCACCAGTAATCCTGTTAAAATCAAAGGCTAAAATAAGTTCCATGTTATTAGCATCTTAATATTAATCTGAACCATAGGTATATAGAAAAAAGTGTTACCTCTCATACAAACACATATCATCACATCACATGGTGAAGGTATGATTAAACTGTATGGTTGGAAACTGCCCTTTCTCCACGGGAAAATTCCCAACATAAAAAATAGCTGATCGGGTAAAAGAAATTGCAGTATTTTCTTTGCCCTCTGCTGGTTTGCTTTGTATAGAATTTTTTTTTCTTATGTTCATTCCGCCCTACTGCAGTATCAGAAATATTATACTGCTTCCAGACCTATAATCCGATTACACTCTCGGTATACATATAAAGAAATGTATAAAACAAATCACAACAACCCTGTGAGGTACGTTGTCTGAGAGAGAGTGAGCTCTCCAAAGTCACCAGCCAGTTTTCGTGCCTAAGGCAGAACTAGTTGGCAGTAAGAAGCAGCAATCGCAGAATTATATTCTAGCTTGTTTCCTTAGAGTCCCAAAGTTAGGATAAGAGTTCTTATTATACTTCCTTCATTGCCGGTCCTGTTTCTAAAGGATTTGGCAAGATGAGAGCTCGAGTGGCAATTGCGATTGTAAATTGAGCTATCATCTTCCCTGCACATTGATGTCATGACAGCCCACCCACACCTTTGCTCTAGTGCTATTTTGGGTGCCATAATTTTCCCTGTGGGTTTTCTGTTTGTACAGACAGTGCTTTGAATGAAACCCTGCGTTTGACAGCAGCTCCTTTTATCAGCCGAGAGGTCCTTCAAGACATGGCCCTGAGACTGGCAGCTGGCAGAGAGTATCACCTGAGGAAAGGAGATAGGCTTTGCCTCTTTCCATTCATAAGCCCTCAGATGGACCCTGAAGTCTACGAGGAGCCAGAGGTAAAACAGTGCTATTCTGAATCCTGCTTTCCATGACAACTTTGTTTATGCTATGTATCTTAGCTAACTGTACTGAGCGAAGAACTGTGATTATTTAGTGCACAGCATTCTTAGACGTGTCAAAACTACAGGCAATGACATAATGGCAAACCACCTGAGGGAACAGCTATATGTAGACATTGCATAAGTTAGGTAATGAAGCTAGAAAGCTGAGATCCTGGGAAGAGATCTGGAAGGCTTATTTTATACCTATCAGTGGGCAGATTTTCTCCCTTCATTTGCAGTGGAGCCTTAAAGATCCCGAATGGGATGACTCACAGCAGCCAGGTAGATGTGGATGGATGGGCGCAGCTGGGTGGGTGTGGCTTGGTCAGCGTGGCTAAGTGGACGTGGATGGGTGCACCCACCCAGTCAGGCCCACCTATCCATACTGACACAGCCATGCCAACCTGGCTGCTGTGAGTCATCCNCCCTTCATTTGCAGTGGAGCCTTAAAGATCCCGAATGGGATGACTCACAGCAGCCAGGTAGATGTGGATGGATGGGCGCAGCTGGGTGGGTGTGGCTTGGTCAGCGTGGCTAAGTGGACGTGGATGGGTGCACCCACCCAGTCAGGCCCACCTATCCATACTGACACAGCCATGCCAACCTGGCTGCTGTGAGTCATCCTAGACCAGGGGTAGACAACCTTGGCTCTTTTATGACTCGTGGACTTTAACTCCCAAAAGTTGAAGTCCACGAGTCATAAAAGAGCCAAGGTTGCCTACCCCTGTCCTAGACCCTTAAAGATCTATTCTTGGAAGAATTTCTGGAAATGACACTGCTAAACACTTGTAACGATACAACTGTATTTAAACACAGCGAATTCAGTGCAAACGTAGTCTTCATCTTATGACCACAGCTGGGACAGGAATTTCAGTTGCTGAGCAATGCGGTTGTTAAGTGAGTCATCACATGACCCAACCCAATTTTATAACCATTTTTACTATGGTCTTTAAACAAATCATTACGATTGCTCTCAGTACATCACATGGCAGTTAAGTACATGATACAGTTGTTCAGCAAACCCAGCTTCCCCGACTGACTTTGCTTGTGACTGCAGGATGTGACCACCACAAGATGCAACTGACAATTGTTGTGAGTCTGTGCCAGCCACTGGACCTGGCAGCTGAGTCTGGGGAATAGAAGAGGAGGAGTAGGGGCCTGGAGAGTCATCAGAGTCGGAGGAAGGCTCTGATGAGCTCCAGGACTTACAGTCTGACGAAGAGCCTGGCCCCTCCAATCGTGCTCAGGCTGAGACTCAGCTGTGCGGGGAAGCTGAGTCAGACTCTGAGGATTTACAGTTGGAAGACATCATAGACGCTCGCAAACACAGACAGGCAACAAGAGCAGGACAGAGGGAGGCAATGGGGCAACTCCAAGGGAGGAGGAGAAGGCATTGAGAAGCCACACCTTGGGGCTGCATAATAAAAAGGGAAGGTGCAGGCGGTGCTGGTTGCTGAAGGCAACCGTTTTCAAAGGACTCAAGTTTCATGGAATCCTGTTTTGTTTGCCTTGCTTGTGAACAATTCTCCGTTTGAATCGTGTTTTGTTTGCCTTGGACAATTCTCCGTTTGCATCGTGTTTTATTTGTTTTTGCTTTTGGGACATTTTTCAGGTCTGTACTTAATAAAAGGGGTTTGTTTTCCCTGCATTTCCAACCTACTTGTTAAAAGAGGAGTTTGTCCTTGTGAGTTAACAAGGACTCACATAGGCCGGGACAGAACACCAATTGCCAACTGGCCAAATTGTGATCATGTGATCAGTGGGGATGATGCAATGGTTGTAACTCCAGGGATGGGTTATAAGTCACTTTTTCCAAGGACATCTTTATGGTCATATGTCAAGGACTATCTGTAAAATGGTTAAAAAAAATTAGTTCCATATTTGGAGCGGGGAAAAAAAATCAGCCCACCAATGCCTCAATCTTGGGTTCTCTCTCCGCACTGAACGTGTGAACTGATTGCATCAAGAAAGAAATGCAGACCTTCTGTGGGTAACATGAGACTCGTGATGGTTCTTTCGTATCAGCTCAAAAATATATATTTTTTTCTCATAAGACTGGCTCTCAAGAGTTTTCCCAGGAACAAAAATAGTTTGGATCCATATTTATGATACAAAAATATAATGATATATTAATAGTAAGAATGTCAAAACCTATCCTGGAATTCCTGTTTGGCTGTTGCTATAGCAACCTATTGCACATCTTTAAAAATATATCAGGATCTTCCCCACTTCAGTATTCCCGACTTGCTTCTCTTTTACTTCACCTTGCTATTTATTTCTTTGTTAACAGACAGTCACACTGGAACTGCTTCCTTTTATGAACAGTTTCCCAGGAACAATTCTGAGAAAACCACAATAATATTATGATCCAAGTCCCAATAAACAGGAAATTCTGTGCTTTTTCACCCTGAGACTGGGAAAAAAGAATATAAATGTAAAATCTCTGATTACTATCGTACTTGAAGTAAGGTTAAGATCTCAATACAAAAATTCCCACAAATATTCTACTTGACACCTACACAAAGGTGATCTGTGAGAGGAAAACTCTTTTATCTATTTTCCCTTCTTCTTCAGCATAGAGGAGAAAGGTTTGCCTTTTTGTTGAGGGAAAAGTAATATGTAGCTATTCATTTAGGGAATTGCTATTCCTTTTACCAGTATCACAAATTATTTTCATAACGTTCAGCAAGGCTTTATGATTAAATTTACTTTGGAGTGGAGCAGTATCCAGAGTGAGGATTATTTTTAAGTAATTGCAATCTTCTTTTTTTGTAAGAATAAAAGTATAAGGATCCAGTATATTGAAGATTCATTTCCTTCCCTATGTGAATGGAGCTCTCATTCTTTTTATTGGAGTTGTGGGGGATAAAAATAATAAAGGAAGTATTAAAACAAAACCCAACTAAAATAAAATTTAAAAGTCTAAAATAATACCGTATGGACTTTATCTTATATAACTGCTTTCATTTCTTTTGCCATGTTTTGCAACAGTAAATATTTTTGATTGTTTCAAGACCTCATTATAGTTAACGTATAGTCTTTCAGGGGATTGAAGTTAATTAGGGTTAATTGGTACCAATTTCAATGGGTCTGCTTTAACATTAAATTCGGATCCAGCTCCATCGTGTGTCACATAGCTATTTCCTCTCCCATGTATTCTAGTTTAAACTTCTGGATGGAATTTTATATAGCTAAATATCCTAAGTAGGATGTTTCTTTTTTAAATATTGGTTAGTTCAAATGAAAAGGAATATTTATCTGAACTTGTTTTTCAGAAGTTCATATACGATCGGTTTCTCAATTCAGACGGCACAGAAAAAAAAGACTTCTATAAAGGAGGAAAAAGGCTCAAGTATTACAATATGCCATGGGGAGCAGGAGTAAATGCCTGCATTGGGAAGTTCTTTGCAATTAATAGCATCAAACTGTAAGTGAATTCATAACACTGATAAAATATCCATCTCTAGCATAGTGTCGATGAAAGGAAGCGAGGGTTGGCTTGTAGCAGAAGCTAAAGCTGTCCAAGGCAAAACAAAGTGAACAGAAACACTCATCTGATTTGGTTTCACTGTCTGAATAGGGGTTGAATCCATTTTTACAACTGTTGATGAAATCTTCATCTGTTACTCAGATAATACTCCATCTGAGATTACGTTGTCTATTAGTCCCAGAATCGCTGTTCATACCCACTCAGTAACTTCTCATGAAATGGGTACATAAATAAAATTTACATCTTGTGATCCATCAAGACTGAAAGGGCACAAGATGAATATCAACCGCAAGTTCTGTTTGATAATACAGGCAGCAAACATAAGATTGCTTATATACCCAAGAATACATTACTGTTCATTGTTAATTTGTAATAGCCTGCACTCAGTTTGGTAGTTGGTCTGTTCTTCAATTTTGCCTTAGCAAAATTTCAAGGATTCATTTATTCATCCATTTAGAGTTTACACTGTTTGCCTACAAATATCCCAGCCTTTGTGCCTACTTTTCTGGGTCTGAAGCATCTGTGAGCCTTAGTTTGTAAAAAATAAGTTCCTCTGGGCCTTAACTGCTTGGTACATTTGTTAAGAATTACATCTGTGAGCTCCAGTGTCTCTTAGAAATAAAGCCACACATTATTCTGATCATACGATCACAGTTATTTTTAACAGGATAAAGACTCACAGTGCAAATTTGCATGCTGTACAGCTTACGTTTACAATTATAATTTTTGTTTAAATATCCCCTCTGTTTTGTTCAGACTAGATATTTCTACTTCTTTGATATTAAAGCACAAAAAATGCACAGTCAACATCATTGGCTAAACTGATTTTGTTTTTGCTTTCTCCTATTTACAGATGTGTTTTCCACCTCTTAAACTGCTTTGATTTGGAACTGATAGATTCTGCTAAGAAGATCCCAGGCTTTGACAAGGAGAGATACGGTTTTGGAATGCTGCAGCCAGAAACGGATGTCAGAATTCGATATAAATTGAAAGCCCAGTAAAGCGATGGCCCATTTCTTCAATCATTCTGTCTAGTGCATAATGCACAAACAAACTATGATTGTTAGTTTCTATTGGAATTGATTTGGGGGCCCCATTACTAAAAGGATGGCAAATGTCTAATCCTAGACCATATTCTGCCTTCCAATTTCCTGAACCTGTTCTTCCCTTGTGAAGGTGGCTTCAGTTTTTCTACCTCATTCTCAGAACATTTCAAGAAGAAATTCATTGTAATATAAGCTACTGAGGGTAAGGCTGTTACTTTTTCAGTTTAACCTCTCTCCATCACTCTGTAGCCTCTCAGGCTTACAATGACTTTTCATCTGAAAAAAGCAAAGGGGGGATGGGTAGACTGTAGGAGGAATACTTCACAATGTAGTACAAGATCCTGATACAATATTTCTGTTCTCGTTGAGTACAATTATAACGGAATTAATGCAAAAACACCACACTCCTTTTATATGGATTTTAATTGAGATTCCTTTGTGTAGTAAAAAAAAAAAAAAAAGCAAAAGCACTTTATTTTTTTATCAGTTTGAATTCAGAAAAATATTTTGGCCCAGTGCTTCTTTTGTCTTTCTCAACTATGATCCTCCAGATATTCTGGCTGGGAATTCTGAGAGTTTGTAATTTAATGCACCTTTAAAGCATCAATTTAGAGAAGCCTGATTTATGTTTAGCTATGTAAATGCATTTTACGCTGTTCTGCAAGTTGCTAATATTCAAAGGTTTTTGCAAACCAGTATTTCTGTATATATATGTTGATGCAGGTAGGCAATTTCAAATAGTATATACAGTATGTGCATAAAGCATTTAAATTGGCCTTTTGTGACATGTTAGGAAGCCAACTAAGTTCTGAGTTCATGAACAGTGAATAATAAATATGAATAAAAATAATTTGTTGGATTGAAAAGTTACTGTAAACTATTAACTTACTGTTCCATCCTTACATTCTTCAAGAATTTTTTTTTTAAAAAAACACCCCAAACCCTCTCATAATATAGAAAGAAGCAGATAGTAACTGACTACATCAAGAGCAGTGTATGTGTGTGTTTCATTCATGTGTGTGTGTATGAGAAACACACATACATTGTCTGGCTGCAGGGAATCGATGTTAAAATGGCAGACATAATGGCCATATGCACTCCAGACAAATAAAGAGGGCAGGAGTTCTATCGCTTGGTTGCACCTCCCATTTTGATAAAGTTTATCTCCACAACAGACACAGCTATATTACCCTAGTATTGTTAATTTGTGGCTATCCAGGATTTCTCACTGTTTACCATGCTAGCTTGCTACTTAAGAACTGTATTCCAAAAAGGGCTACAGCTTCCCTACCCCAAAGCAATATTGCAAATCCAACTACATCATCACAAAGTCACCTACTGAAATCAGTGTATTTTTGAGTTAATATAAATAGTAGACAGAAAGTTCCATTCAAGAGCAAGATGACAGGCTGTTCTGGACAGCAGCATTAAAATGCAGTTATTCAGCACAGGAGCTAGCTTAAGCTTATGTCAGCTTAAAGAAGTGTTGACCACACTTCACCAACATTTATTCTGCTTTGACAAAGGAGAACTGGGGTGTCTGTCCACACAAGAAGCTGTGGGGGGAATTGGCATTGAGAATGCCTCCTTTGATGCCCGTTAATGACAGCAGAAGATCTTTAAGACTTCTACTGTCAGTTGTATGATTTCTCTGTGGGACTAGAGACATCCATTTTCTTTCCATCTTGTTCCCTCTTACTTCTTTTGCCACTTCAGAAGTTTTGTTTCCTTCTCATCCAGTGTCAACTGCTATCAGAATAAACCACCACCAATCGCTTTTCTTAAAGTGTGGCAGGGCAGGCTGGGAGAATAAGTGTCAGTGGCTCAGATAGTGTCAGAATGAAATTGTGGAGATGCTCCACACCAGTAATCTGTTACATGGGGTATTTCAGAACACAATGGTCCAGCTGAATATTGGTGGGGTTAAAGTAGGGGTTTGGAATATGGAGTGAGCTATTATCAAGCTCTTAACCTATTGGCTGGACTAGTTTTGGATAGGTTTACAAGCCATAGAGAAGACTTGTAGCCTAGTTTACCATATTTCCTATCACTTGCCTTAGAGTTGGAAAATGGCAGAACTCTTGTTGATTTCATCCCAGCTCCCAAATATTCCAGACAAATAAATGTAGAAAAGGAATGCTGAAAGCAAGTAACCACAGCACCCCAAAATATCTCATGAAGACTGCAAAACGGTATTAGGGTAGTCCAAATGGCACTATTTCATTGCAACAACATATGTTGACTATGATTGATTTACCTAGCTACCAGCCTTCAAAGTAGACCAGATCAGGAAAATAAAGTCGTATAGGCCCATATTATTTTTATTGTAAAATATAGTAACAATATATTCTTTCAGTCCCTCAAGCCCATTCTTTATGCAAATAAATTAACGAAGCCTAGCCTTGGTGAGGTCCAAATCCAGGGGCAGCACTCAATGATCTTGGCTGATATTGAAAAGCTAAGCAGTATATCTAACAGTACTTAGAAGTAAGATTACCAGAAAATCACAGGATTATAGTTAAAAGATGAAAGGAAGGTGAAAAAATATCCTGGAAAAAAGACGAAAGGAAACTATTCTCATTTTGCTGCCAAGAATGGGCATGTAGACAGCAGAGTCTTTCCATTTCCAGCCTTGATGAGACAACCCAATATTGGGTTCCCCAATAATTTATTTGTAAATATTTATTCAAGTTGTATGTCTATATGTATATGTGTGTGTTTGTGTTTTAATCTTCAGCTTTAACTTTAGGATTACAATTTATCCCTACTTATTTGCAAACACACTTCACTGCGCATCAGTACTATTATGCAACACTTATGTTTAAGTGACTTTCTAACTATAAGACTATAAGAGTCTTATAGTTAGAAAGTTTATAGTTTATGCTATACTAGGGTTAGAATATGGTTTACTGAACAATAGAGCAACCTAGTTCACACATGACAACCACTTTGGTGTCTGTTTGGTTAAAGACATGGGCTAGAAACTCAGTTTGTAGCCCTGCCTTAGGCACCAAGCCAACAGGGTGACCTTGGGCCAGTCCCTTTTCTTTAGACCTAGAAAGAAGGCAATGGCGTTTCCAAAAAATGTTACCAAGAAAACAGCATGAATTTGTCAATGGAGTTGCTAGGTATACACACAAACACAAATTCACACCTAACTCCAAATCCCAGACCATGGTTTACAAATCATGATAGCTAAGTTCATCTACCTTTTTTTTTTTTCAATATAAAATTTTTATTATTTTTCATCATAAAAAAAACATCACAAATGTTACACAATGCTATATGAAAGACCCCCCACCCCCCACCCCCCCGGACTTCCCGAACCTAATCCCAGGATAATATTCAGATATAAGTAAACAAATATTAGTATCTCTAACTCCACAGAGTATATTATTCTACATGAGTAGGTAAAATATATAAAAGAAAAAAAAAAGAAAATTTTTTCTAAAAACCTAAATTATATTCCACCACTCTATGCTTCTTTTGAATATAAACAATCCAGTAAGTTCATCTACCTTGAAACTGTTATGACTTCATGAAAAGTAAGACTCTAGCCCTTGTGTCTAATTAAACTTACTTCCCACTTAGTATACATAATAATTTATATGTAGCCCACACAACCATCAGATTGAATCCATCCACTCCAAATGTACAGCAGTGTTTTTCAAACTTGGCAATTTTATGATATGTTGGCTTCAATTCTAATGCTGGCTGTGGAATTCTGGGAGCTGAAATCCATATCTTAAAGCTGCCAAGTTTGAAAAACACTGGTTCATAGGATCTTCAACAGATTATATAGAGCAGTGGTCCCCAATTTTTCTGGCACCTTGGTTTCATGGAATAAAACTTTTCATGGACTGGAGGGAGATGGTTTCGTGCACAATCTAGATCCTGCGCATGGACAGAAGAAGCTTCACTCGCTCACCTGCCACTTTTGTGGCCCACTTCCCAACAGGCCACGGACCAGAATCAGTCTGCGGTCCAGGGATTGGGAACCTCTGATACAGAGTACAGCAGCTTCTTTTTCAGACACAGTGCTACACTTTTAATGACGCCTAATAACTACCAAGTATATTTATATTTGATTCCAGGCAAAAGCTACAAAAATGACTTCTATGGGGAAACCAAACCAAACTGCAAAAAAACCCACTTTCCAAGTATTATTATTACATTTTCCCTTAAAGCTAGACTTTCATTTTCTAGCATCAAACAGAAGTAAGCAGTCTTTGGAGACTACAGTTCACAAAAAAGTATGCTGTAATAAATGTATTAGTTTTTAAAAATTGTAAGATTCTGCATAGTTTTGCTGTTTAATTTCCCTCTGGAAATATTTGTAGATGCTGTTATAAAACAAAAATAAGCAAATACTATTGTAAAAATATTTCTTTTAAATAAGAATTTAACACATATCTTTAACAGAGCAAATAATCTCAGTATTAGAACTAAATAAAAGCTTTAGGGGGGAAATTGAGGTGTCCTGGTCAAAGTTGAGCTAGATCAGTGTTTTTCAAACTTGACAACTGTAAGATGTGTAGACTTTAAGATGCTATCCATGCATCTTAAAGTTACGAAATTTGAAAAATGCTGATTAAAACAACCTGTTAAAGGAAGCTGTGCCCATGAAATCTCATAGGATACTCTTATAAAATTGTTCATTATGCTGCTATTGCTCTTTAGTTTTGTTTAAATTGTTTCTTCAGTTGGATTAACTGGTTTTATTTTCTCATAACCATATATTATTGGATGTTTTGTAGAAAGGACAGATTTACATTTCCCAAAATAAACATGAACGTATTGCTTGCGGAACTCAATATTTCATTTTTCTATAGTCACATTTCCAACTTTTTATATCTCTTTGTTATTTGATCAAATCTCAGGGTTTCGAGGAGAGCTCTTAAGGAAATGAAGGGATGTTCTGTAAAGCTCCCCTCCATAAAGAGAATTTGTAATGCCTGAAGGCTTTAGAATCAGATTCATGCCTATGCACATTTAATATATATTTATGCTTACCAGCATTCTCAGTCCAATTCATTTTATTCCTATTTTACAAATAGGCATGTTTGTTTTCCAGAAAGCATATGGTAGAATACATGGATTTTATATTCACAAATTTTCTATAAGGCAGGTCTGAGAAAAAGTTGTCAAAATCCCACCCCCACAACACATAATCCATTCCATCTTTTGCTCTAACCATTACACCACATACAGTATACTAAATATTGTTCATGGCCCTATAATTAGTAATCTTTCGGAATCTGGTGTTAAATTCAGGTCTTTAGACAAAACCTTGTACATCTTAAAGCAGGGTGTTCAGATAACTTTGAAAGGAAGAAGACCATCCTGAATAGCATAATAGATAGGACCTAAGAAGGTGAAGGCAGAAGCCCAGTGGTTATGAACCTTTTCTTCACCTTTAAATAGCTTTTGTGGCCATGGACCCCCAAGACTTAACTCAAGATTTAAATCAAAAAAATTATTCAAACCTTCACGGACCCCCTGTGATGACATCATGCCCCCCCCAGAGGTTTGCGGACCACCGGTTGAGAACCACAGGGGAAAAGCACATTTGCTTTTTAATTTTAGCTATAACATTTATAACATTTTTAAATAGAACTACCAGAACAGCCATGATGCAGTCCTATTTTTACCTGAAATTGAATCCCATTTCAGAAGGTGAATTGAATACTTTATTTGCCAAGTGTGATTAAGACACACAAGGAATTTGTCTCCGGTACAGAAGTACTCAGCATTCATTTCAGAAAGTGCCAATGCAGGACATCCTTTCCTGGCCTGGGACAAATTTTTTCAAAAACCTTGCTCCATCTTTTAAGTTT